GAGGAAAGAATGGAAAAGACCTGGGAACAAGCTGTTTGATAAGGCATATGTGGAGAGCCCATCGTTCCATTGTCCTGCAAGAGAATGGAGGTGGTACCAGTATACCACCTCTCTACACTGCACCTCCAACCCTGTTGCCTTCTTTGCTGCACCCAGACAGTGATCTGAATTCTATGTCATCCTCTCCTGGAAAACTAATGAAAGAATCAACTTCTGTTTCTTCTTCTCCAGACAGACTGACTGAAGAGATCCATGCTAATCTCTCTTCTGGAGATGCTTTAGTGGAAGATTCGTCAATGCTGTCGTCATCTGATGATATAGGTGAAGTCTCCTTCGTTTCTTCGCCCGAGAAGCAGTGTGAGGGATTAGGTCCACTAATATTTGAACCTGCTGCTGTATTTCAGCAAAATAAAAGGATTATGAAAAGGCTTAAATCAGAAGTTTGGCATCACTTTTCACTGTCACCAGCAGACAGTCTAAAAGCAGTATGTAGATATTGCAGCTGTATGATAAGTCGCGGTAAAAAAGGAGACGTGGGCACAAGCTGCTTGATGAGACATCTGTATAGACGCCATCCCGACGTGATTGGAAACCAAAAGAGCTTTATCGATGTTAGTTTGGCAAATTCTCCTTATGCCACCTTGGCTTCTGCAGAATGCTCCTCATCAAAATTGACAGACTTGCCTACAATGGTTACCCATGATAATCAAATTATATTTCCTGTTAATAGCAAGAAGACCTCAAAACTGTGGAATCACTTTTCAATTTGTTCTGCAGATTCAACAAAAGTAATATGTATGCACTGTGGACGTACAATAAGTAGAGGGAAAAAGCCAACAAATCTGGGCACTAGTTGCCTTCTAAGACATTTGCAGCGGTTTCATAGCAATGTATTGAAAACTGATGTCTCAGAGACAGTATTATCCTCATCTACGGATAATCACATGCCACTGAGCACAGAATTATTAGGACCTTCAACTTTTGATGAAACCAATGACAAGTTTTGTGACTCTCACCCAGTTGCCAAAAAAATCACAAGTCTTGTAGCTGAAATGATTGCACTTGACCTTCAGCCATATTCTTTTGTAGACAACATTGGCTTTAACAGGCTTCTTGAATACTTGCAACCTCAGTATTCTTTACCTTCTCCATCTTACTTTTCTAGGACAGCAATTCCAGATATGTATGATAACGTAAAACAAATAATTATTTCACATCTTAAGGAAGCTGAAAGTGGAGTGATCCATTTTACATCTGGGATATGGATGAGCAACCAAACACGAGAATATCTAACCCTTACAGCTCACTGGGTAACATTTGAGTCCTCATTTCGACCACAGTGTGAGGATTACCATTGTTCAGCACTATTAAATGTATCACAGATTGATTGTGACTACAATGGAATCAGTATACAAAAGCAGTTAGAGTACTGGTGGGAAACATGGATTACTTCTGTTGGCCTTCAGATTGGGATTACTGTTACAGATAATCATAGTATAGAAAAAACTTTAAATGAAGGTGATCATTCAAGCGTGCAGTGTTTTAGTCACACTGTTAATATCATAGTAAATGAGGCTATTAAAAGCCAGAGAATGGTTCAGAATTTGCTTAGTATTGCAAGAAAGATCTGTGAACGTGTTCATCGATCAGCAAAAGCGAAAGAGAAATTAGCTGAGTTGCAAAAAGAGTATGAGTTGCCTCAGCATCAGCTTATTCAAGATGTTCCATCAAAGTGGAATACATCATTTCATATGCTTGAACGTCTTATTGAACAGAAGAGAGCAATTGATGAAATGTCAATAGAGTGCAGCTTTAGGGAGCTAATAAGTTGTGACCAGTGGGAAGTTATGCAGTCAGTGTGTCATGCTCTCAAACCCTTTGAAGCTGCAAGTAGGGAAATGAGTACACACATGTCTACTTTAAGCCAGGTGATTCCAATGATTCACATACTTAACAGGAAAATAGAAATGTTATTTGAGGAAACAATGGGCATAGATACCATGCTGAAATCTTTGAAAGAAGCTATGGTGAGTAGGTTGTCCTCCACACTTCATGATCCAAGGTACATTTTTGCTACGCTTCTGGATCCCCGCTATAAAGCATCCCTATTTACAGAAGAGGAGGCTGAACAATATAAACAAGACTTAATCAGGGAGCTGGAAATAATGAGTTCTACCTCAGATGATGATAAACCTGTTTCCAATGGATGTGATATAGGTTCACCATCTACAAATTCGTATGGGGAAGATAATCTTTGGTCACTCATGGGTGACATGAAGAAAACAAAAGATCTGAAAGAGAGGGCAAAGTTACCAGAGGAAATGGTGCTTTCTTACTTGGAGGAAGAAGTGCTTGAGCATAACTGTGATCCTCTAACTTACTGGAACTTTAAGAAGTCATCATGGCCAGTACTGTCAAAATTGGCTGTCAGGTTCTTGGGTTGTCCACCAAGCATTGTTCCTTCAGAGAGATTGTTCAATACATCCAATGAAAGCAACAACTTTAGTCAGTCAAGGCTAATGATTGAACACTTTGAAAAGCTTATCTTCTTGAAAGTGAATCTTCCTTTAATATACTTCCAGTATTGAAACTAATGAACAAACTGCTAGACTAAATCTATTGTTGCTCACTGGATATTAACCATCTGTAACTTGGATTGTTAAATTGCTCCAATAGGGGCCATGTATGACATCTAATCAGTGACTATAATTCCAAATTTTAGTTTCCTTTTTTTCAGATTTCAATATGTCTACATGTGCCTTATTCATAGTACTTCAGGCCAGATATTGTATATATGTTTTTTAAAAGTTCACACTAGAGATAGCCTGTCTTGTCAAATTATACAAAATTATGTAGGTTTTAATCCATAATTGTAAATGAACTTTAAAAAAGCTCAGTCATTTGTTTTAATAGAATGGCAAAAAAGATGTAAACAGTTCTATTCTGTAGTTTTTTATTCAATTATTATGTAAAAACCATAAACCAGGTACTGTATTTTAGTTGAATATTGCTTTAATTGCAACAAAACAGCTTTTGTAGATGTCAAAAGAAAGCTGTACATAAAAGATGGAGTCCAAGCCATCTTTTTATCTTGTGGTGTTTTCTTAACTGCAAGCCCTAAAGTACTTAAAGAATTAAGAATTATTGAGGAAGATGTGTTTACAGGAGACTGTTGACTTAGTATCGGAAAGTAAATCTTAAATTTGAGATGATATGGAATGTCAGTTATACAGTAATCTGTAGTAAAAACTTCCCATTCTGGGTTCTCCTGTTCAGGTTTTACATTGTAACTGAACTACAGAAATATTCTGGGTATTTATAAAAGCTCTTTGGAAGTTTTATCAAAGTTTGTGAATTAATGCTTGTTATTTAATGCCGTGTACAAAAAAGGCCACAAATTTACAGTGAACACTCTAATGTCATTCTAAAGCCCTTTCTAATCTTTAGTGCATCGAAATTATAAGGTTCCCTATTGTAAAAATTGAGCCCTTACTCCTAAGGTAATTTCAATTGTGTACAACAACCTGTCTTAAAGTTCCTAGTATAAAAATAACTGATCTTCTGATTTTCAATAATAGCCTTATGGATATGGTGCACTACTTAGAATTCTGTGTAGTAGGGTTGATTCATAACCGTTAGTGTCCACCAGGCAAATGGGGTATCATAGGGCTCTCAAAACTTCAAGTAAGGTGGAAAAGAAAAATAGCCAGCATTTTGATTTGAAAGGACCGTTCTCCATGGTTTTTTAACTTTAGAAGGATTAATCTTCTCATTTCAGTTTTCATTAACCGCTTTTTGGGAAACAAGTCATCATTTGCCTATGACCTTTTAGAAAAGTTGTAGCTTTGTTAAAATACTGTACCTATGCCTAATCTAATTTTGCATTTACTACGTTTTAGTGTATTTATAAATGGTGAACTCAGTTTCTGAAATTAAACATTTTATTTGCAATTTTCTAGTGGTAGTCAACACTGCCTTTTTATTTTCAGATGGATTCAAGACAGGCATTGAATAAAAACTGATATAATCATAAATGTACCACAGAACATGCAATGTGAAAAGATCAGTTTTCCAATTAGCTCTCTGGACTTTCAGGCCTAGAGTCTAGTTCTTTTCACGTCACTCCAGCTATTCAACCTCATTAACTTAAATTCTTCTTCAAGTGGCTTAGGTTCTCTATATGACATTCCTCTAAACACTGTATAGTTTCCAACATTTCAGTTGTTACTTAATCAGTTACGCTTACACCTATATTATTTAAGTAAATGACTATGCAGTGAATTTAGGAGGAACTAACACTGCATTTTTGTTTTAAGTATTTTAAAAGGTAACTTTTAATGCTGTCAACAATCAGCTTTTCTCTATTCTCTTAGGGTTAAATGAGAACAGGTACAGGTGTTTTCTGCAGCAATAAAACAACTTGTTCTAGTTTAGGTATAGTTGGAACTAGATGAGTTTGAAGCAGGTTATTGGGAACCTGTTTAAAAGGTTACTAGTTAATTATTATCTCAATTTCTTTTTTCCTACAATATATTTTAACTGTGAATATAACCTTGACCTTTGGTAAGGAGATGTTTAATCTCTCCAAACCAGTAGAGAGGTAAGTAGAGGGTGAAGAAAGGGATACAGTTTTCACGCAAGGCTGGAATGTGAATATGGCCTTGGGCTTCAAGCGTTGGAGAGCCACATCGCTCCAGCAGGAGCGTTGGGAAACGAAAAACTTCCCCAAAATTCCCAGTGTGCTAGAAATGAGCATCTTGGCTCCTCTGCTTTAAGACAGTCTTCACTGTAGCTCTTGTGGAAAGTTGAAATGATTGCATTTTGTAGCCTCTAATTTACCTTTTCTCCCTTATATGGATATTTAATTGTATAGTCCTGCTTTTTGTAAAAACTTTTCCTGAGAGCACATGAGAACTATAGTTACTATTTTAAAAAGTAAAACTATAGTCACTGTTTTAAAAAGTAAAACAGAATCGATTAAAGTAAATTTACTCTGCTTTATTGTAATTGCAGTTTCCTTTTCTGAAGGGTATTAGTTCTTAAGACGGCACTGTTCCAGTATCAGCTTGGTTCAGAATTAATACTCTGTTTACATTAGATCTTTATAAAAATAATTTGCAGGCCTGAAAGGCCTTAAAATTCAGACATGGAGTCTTTTAAAAACCTAAATAAACATATGAGGGACTGAAAGCACAAATGTACTATTTTTTGGATGTAAACCATGATCCTTCTGTAGGCGTTATAGAAGCATCTACATCTTCAGTTCAGGTATTGACTACTTTGAGAAAAGAACGACTTCAAAGGACAGGCTGGAAGTGTTCATTAAATTATTGCGGTAAGTTACTGAATGGGCAGATTTTGTGTTGTTTTTCACTTGTTGAACTTATTTTCACTTGAATATTATTTTTAATATAGGTTCTTACTGATTGCCAAAATCTTCATTTTTTCCAACCCTTCTCAGATTTGTAACGCATAGAAGGCTCCCTTATTTTCACATTCCATGCAGATCCTCTCAGACTATAATAAAAGCACAAGCTCTGTTAACGGTGGAAGTTTTTATGAAGTTAAGTTTGTGCTGAACCAGGTCCTGCAGCAGTAGACAGCTCCCTAATACACACCGATTTGATGAACCTGGAATAGTGATACTAAAATGGAGTCAATTTCAGTACATGAGCAACTTAAGAAATTTAGTGAGTAACCTTTTTGTTAACATAAAACATGAAGTATAGATGCTTCTTTATGCATCATCAAAATCATAAGGATCTCAGAGCTTTTCCTCTTATAAGAGTAGGCAGGAATAACAATTTGTACACTATGCAGCAAGAACTCTCTCTTCAGTATTAAAGGTAGGAGGGGGAAGAAGCAGAGATCTGCAATAGTTTTGAAATAATTCAAGTTTTGTAAAGCATTTATATAATATAAAGAATCTATTGAAATCTGTATTATGCTGCAGGAACTTCTGAATAACGCTTCCTATTCCCAGTCCTCCATCTTGCCCCGTTTCCATGTGGCCTCCATCCCCCCTGCCCAGTAAAAGAGAAGTAAACCTCTTTGCAGAATTTAGGCAGTGACTGTTGACTAGAAATGTACAGAGTTTTTCCCCACCCAAAATTAGCTTCTGAATTTACAAAGAACAGAAATCTCAGTCTACAACATAGTTTAATTCTAGCACAAGAATGTGACTAATTAAATGTAAATACAGACGACCATCTCCAAGTAGATGTGTACATTTGTTGAGATCTGTCCCTTAAAAGGAACTTTTTTTCCCCTCCACTATACAGAGCTGACGGTAACATACTTGCATTTAGGTATCTCCAAACCCAGGAAAATAAAAATACTAAAATTAGCAAATAGGACTTTCTAATTCCAGGTTATTCAGATTTGATAAGCTACTTATCATTTTAGTTTTTCCAAAAGTATATTCATACTCTGCTTTATTCTTAGCAACAAGAAAGAGTGATTCTTTACCTTTTCGATTTCCTTGCAAAACTGACCCAAAAACTGCCTCATTTCATCCCCAGCTTTACTATTGGCCTGCATACCAAATGGCTAGAACTTGGCCTGAACTATCCCTAACTCTTTTCTATATAAACTCATTCCTTCTTTCAGTTTCTTGATTCAAATTGTCAGTTCTAAAAGATGGACTATATTTCCAAAAGTGTGTTTACGTTAGATTTGACATAACTGGACACAAATTAAAGCTTGGTACAGAACCAAGGCCAGTTGCAGCTAAAATTAAGTAGCATCTGTGAAAGACTGCCCATCATGGTAAGATTCAGAGTTTCAGGAAAACACTGACTGTTCTTGCTGTCATAAACAAAGGTCCGAAGTGAACACCCAGAAGTAGCTGGAATTGATCACATTAATCTAAAGAGCTGCTATAAAATAAGAGTTGCATACAAAAAGATCATTTCATTTATTTAAAAATAGAAATCACATACGATTAAAGAAAAAATGAAGAAAAATTTCCTTGAGGTTTTTTGTCATTTAACTTCAGGAATTTCTGCAAACACCATTTTAATCTTGCGTCCTATGTTAACCAGGTAGTGATAAATTTCATTTAAGATATGGTTGAGACTGATTATGTAACCGACTAATTGAAACAGCTGTGGCTAAACAGTCTTGCTGACATTGATGATATACTTGGTTTGAGGTTTTGTTCTTTTGCAAACAGAAAGAAGTCATTTGTACAACACTAAGATTGAATACTAAGTTACAAAGCCCTCTGAGAAGGGAAAGCGGAGAATTTAAGAAGGAATACAGGTACAAAGTGAGGAAGGCAGCAGTAGACTTCTGTGTAACTTTTTTAACGTATGAAAAAGTGTTCTCAAATTCCAGGGAAAAAAACAAGAAGCTTTGGGTAACTTTTTTCTTATTTGAAACCCTTAAATGAATGCATGCTTTCCAGAGAAAGATTATATTAAAAAGTATTCCCTCCCGCCACTACACACACATTTGCTTTGATGTTGACATGCAGCAAACAAGCGCTTAAACTTCTTACCACCTTTCAAACTCGAATTACAGACATAAGTCTTGCAACAGTTTTCACTCTGCACTAGGAGAGGCAGCACAATCATCTGTCTTGTTCACCTAAACGTGTGATCTGTTGTACCAATGGGAACTGTGAAATGACCAGGTAGTGAGAAAAATGGATCAACCTGTTTCAAAATGCATTATGCAGTTACATTGCATTGAGGTTGTGTTCTGCTGCTTTGAAAGAAATAGGTGGTATGGGAAAGAACCTGGGAAGGTATGTTCTGACTTTTCTCAGTGTTAACAGGTAAATATTTATATGCATATCACCTAATACAGCCATTCTCCAGGTCCCCTCACCCCAGAATTCTCTCTCCCAAGAGACCCATAGCAGGTACTTAGGGAAGGCTGTAAGATAAATAAGTCTGGTATTTTTCCTAGCTGTGAACACTCTATTTCTTAGAGACTTTTGAGAACTCGAAGTTGTTCCTTTATCTTCTGTTTCTTAGTTCTTGATGGGATACTGATTTGTTTAATCCTGTTTTGAACCTCTTTTAGCATACAAAATATCCTCTATGAACGAATTCCCTAACTTCTTCCATGCAATCTAAAATTATTGTATTTAGTTTGACATCTATCTGCTAATTTATATGGTGTCATAAATCTTGTGCTACAAAGGTGATTACTCACCTTCTCTGAGCCATTCCTGGCACTGTATTTGTGTCCTAGTCATGTGTTAGCCTTGTTATTTACAGGTACAAACCTTGTTTGTAAGAAATTAAGTCAAACTTCAAAAGGCAATACATGCTGCTACTGAACGTTTGATGACCTGTGGGAAGTTTAAGAGACATCCTAAAATAAATCTCATTCTACAGCAGTATTATACATGTTAAATGCATTTTCTATGACAGTGTTTTACTGTCATAGATGTAACAATTTACAGATGGACTGTACTATATATTTTTGCTTTGTTTAATTTAGCCCTCAATTATTTGAATAATGCTACTTCTGCTCTTAGTAAGAAACACTATATTTAAGCCAGGGTTGTGTGTAATCACTTGACACAAAAGGAATTTTTCTTTTAAAAACGTGAGTTTTCATGAGAGAGTATTTTGAAGTCCCGTGATAAATTGCAAGCAAGTCTTCAGAGCGTGTCTCTTACCTACAAGACTCATGTCATAACTCTGGGCTTCCTCCAACCTTCCCTTCCCCCCTCTCCCCTAAAAGCCAAAAGAATTTGTAATAGCCCCACTTTACGCGCTTGTTAAAGGTGTGGGAGACTTGCTTAGTACCCTATTATATCTAAGGGGACTTAAGAAAGAAAATATGAGTTTTAATCTACATTAAAGAGTACTAATCTATAGTAAAGAAGAAAATAAGCTTCCTGTTTCCGCAACTTTTCTGGGAAAACTCTGCTGGCAGACCTTCACTGAGCTAAAGAAAGCAGACACGGGGCTCAGATTAGAACGTTCATTTAAAAAGAAAGAAGAGCTGGCTTTTAGCTTCTATTCCAAGGACTGCTTATTTATTGAAGGTAGCCTTGGAGGAAAAATTGCTGTAATCCTTGTCCAAGTTTGACAGATGGCCCTTCTTATTTAGAGTGTGGGCTACTAGGACGCTCCTAGCATATGTTGTAGGGGGTTACACACACTGTCATAGAAGTCACACGGCCACTGGTGCTACAGTGCTGACTACTGGAACAGCTGCATCAGTCATGATTTAGTCCTTCGATTGCTAGCGCCAACAGCTTTAACACCACAGGCAGAGCAAGATGCTAGAGGACCTAAATAAACTTTAGAAACTGCACAAAACTGCAATACATCTGTTTTTTGTCTCCTTATACTCCTTTTGTCCACCCCTAACAAATATACTAGACAGGCTATTTTGGCCTGATAGCTCCTATTTACACTGGTAGCTCTGCCTGTGTGGAGTACTACACGCTACTGCCACAGCTAAGCACTAGCACTGGTGTAAGTTCGACCGGCACCTGTAAGTCCGTGGAAGGTCCTTGTCAACTAAACGTGCCTAACACTCAACAAGATTAAACTCGTTGTATGCATTACGGAGTGCCAAATGTCCGTACATCCTATGCAAATTTAGGCATCGACTTGAGGTGCATATGTTACAAGCATAATAGGCTGAAGTTTTCTCTTGTTAGTAGAAAAAAAGGTTTCTGCAGAAGGGACTCAGGCAACCAAGAATTTGTAAAGCTGGAATAACCATATGCCTAAGTTTAGCAGTTCAGATTGGTCTTCACTAGGGCAGGATACATTTGAGTTTAGGTACTCCACTTACAGATTACATTGCAGGGGAAGTTTTGAAAAAGTTAATTATTATGCTTAACACACAAGGGCCTATATCCTTTGCATTCTTCTAATTTTCAGATATTTGCACGTGTACTTCCTTCTGTACCCTGTGAAGTATTTGATGTTCAAATTGGCTCTGGAGAAAAGTTCAGTTTTCTTCCAAAGAGAAGTCAAATAGATAATACTCCAGTAATTTCAATTTCAAGAGAGGCCAAAGACTGGAGTAACAAGTTCTGCAGGTTACCTTTGCCAGATCTCAATGTGAGAAAGCCTGCACAACAGCCACCCACAGTGGAGCAGGCTCCACCCAACCAGATTAGTTCCTGTGATACATAATCCAGGGACTAAAAAAAGAAAATACTATCCTAAAAACTGAAACACATACAAAGGTAAAGGTAGGGCCCTGAATGAAACCTGCTTTAAGGATGGAAACAAATAAAAAAAAAACGAAACAAAGAAACAAAAACTTTTGTTCAGTTAGAATTTTTTTACTCTTGAGTTTTCAGTCAGTAAGGAATAGTTTTCTGCCCATGTTTATTTCTGGAACATTAAATTTTTAATATTAGACCTCCTGCCATATTATAACTGCTCCTAACTGAAATTCTGACTTTTCTTCTTGGTATACCCTCTAACTTCTTCCACCCAGCAAGCAGCAAGGTAGACATTCTTCAAAACAAAACAAAACAAAAAAAAACCCCACCACATACCACTTCTAATTAAGAAGAGATTACAGAGCATGCTATCTTATTCTCATTTACAGAGTGCAACACATTTGTCCATGACACACAGGCACATTCATTTCCAAAGGGACTACTTAGTTTATACAGAAAGAAAATAGCACCTATCTTCAAGTGTATTCAAGTCAGTATTTCCATAGGTAACTTTTGCACTGCAAATTATGATAATATCTTTGCAGCAGAAAAGAGGAAACATCATTTTAAAAATTATCTTTTTTCTGTGAAATCCAAGTTGCACCGCTTATTCATGCACTGTTGGAATACAGACAGCCATCCTTTAATACTCAAATCAGCTATGAAACAGTGCTTGCCAAGAAGTGCAACTGCTTTTCAAATGAATCTTTCACTTTAATTAGTTTGGTAGCCTACAGGGCACAATTAGTTATTGTGATGAAGCTACAAGGAATATGGCTTTGCTGTGTTGATTACATCATTCAAGTTTCACACAGGCAATCTGACAACTGAGGGGGGAGAGTCACAATCCTGCAGATAGGTCAAATGATATATCTTTGCACACACGGATTACTTATCAAATTACTGCAGTAGCACAAACCGGTTCCATTATGTGTCTTATATAGGGCAATTAGGACATACCTGTGCTGCATTATGAAATAGCTGCCTGCACTAAGTACATGGGTTTTACTTAATAGCGCTAAAATTGTAGGTACCTTCTCTCAAACTTATCCAACGATATAGCTCAGTATTTGAGTACTGCCTAGGAATGTGGTGCAATATTTATGTAAGAAAACAGAACATAGCTAAATATCAATCAATACCAAGATTATTTTCCATACCTTTTCACAGAATCTGAATTGCAGCGCTAGAATGACAATTTGCAATTGTCTTATTTAGTCATCAAAAGACTTACTTAAAATTCACAGTCAAGACAATAGGGGAAGTTTTTCCAACAGTACTAATTTTGGTTTTAAGTTTAAAGTAAAAGGAGGTAGTGCAGTGAGGTTCAACCCAATTTTACTGATGCCAGGTATATTTGCCAGGGGCCTGTGGGTTGTCTTGTAATGTGACATTTGAAGAGGATTTGTTTCCATCAGTATATGTGTATAAGAAAACATCAACTGGTCTCCTGGTTTAACATCTTCTCTTTTGTCATACCTGTAAAGAATACAGAAAGCTTATTTACATTCTTCTCTTTACATATTAAACGCCTCCATTACCACAAGGCCATATAATATCCAAGATGAAATAAAAAAGGAACTACAACATTCTCAGTTATATCACAAGATTAAGTTATAGCTGAGAAGGAAATGGTTTTTTTGAAGAGTTTGAAGTCAATCATTCCAAGCAAGACTTTCTGCTGCTACTGTGATAAAAACCAGAACTGCCAAAATACTTCCCATCTAATCCTCTATTTCAACTCTAGAGAGAAAATGTCTCTACAGCAGAGCCTAAGACTGTAGAAAAATGGACTGATTAAGTTTTATTCCATGGAAACTGGGTTTGGATGAGGGTTTATAGCAGAAATTTTTCCCTTCTGGTAGTAAAATGTTACAGTAGAACCCTGAGAGAATAGCTGGAAGAAGACTTCCTTGAACACTCTAGGAAAAAAAGACCAGTCTAGCAACGACAGTATTAACCTGGCACTGGTTACTTGTGGGCTCAGTTGCCTGATACATGCAAGCTTCATGTTTGGGTCAGCTTTTATAAACATGTTTAGGTACCTAAACATAAATAAATTTATAAAAGCACACACACGTGTGTGTGCGTGTGTATATATAAATAAAAGCAATTCGTGAGTTTTAAAACCATTTAACATGTAAACTTACAGCGTGTATTAGAAGAAACTGTATTCTGTATTTAGCCTCATCAGGCACTTTTGTCAACCTAGCCATAGAGGAAATTTACAGGATGACAAAACAAGTTTATATATAAAGATTGCCTTTTATACAACAGAAAGCAACTCAAGCATTTGGTAGGGATGTGAAAGATCTAGGTGCAAGTTCAGTCATTCTGTGTCTGACCTGAGCCCAGAACTGAATCAAAGTTCCTCATCTCATAGGACTGTGTGAACCTCTCTAGGTTTACGGAATTTAAGGTAGATCTCTCACTGTCTCATGCAGACATTGCTCTAGTTCACAGTAGGTTTTTTTTATTCACTCACTGCAGAGAAGCAGGTGGAATTAATAGCCCAAGGGTTAAGATGCTTACATAGGACATGGCAGTCTGACAGAGTCCTCAATCCAACAACCATTTGTTAGGTAAAAGAGAACAACTTCAGAAGGGAAAAATAAGTCAAGTTCACCCCAGAACACACAGACCACCATTTCATGTATTTCCAAGACGTGGGAGATGTGGGTTCAAATCTTCGCTGTTTATCCCAGCAAAATATGCTAGCCTAATAGTGGAGAACAGTCCAGAAAATAGAGGTTAAGATGGAAGTTACCTACCTTTAGTCTGTGCATGACAAGACTGTCCTAGGCATCTAACCATACAGTAGCATTCATACTGTGTATCCTAAGTGAAGAACAGTGCCCAGTTCTTCACCCTTTGTGCTGCCACTCCTTACAAACTATTTCCACCGGCTTGTCTAGCTCCTATTCTTAGGCACCTGATTCCTCCCATACGTTTCACAAGTAACTTAAGTCTGTGGCTTTTGTTACATGCACGGACACAGATAAGGGAGTGCTGAAATCCCAACCCTAAATACTCTTAGAGGCACCCAAGACTAAATCCAGTCTGCATCTTTTGCCACATGTATCTTTGAAGATTTGGCCTTTAGTGTCTCCGAATTCTTCTGTGAAAAACTAGAAACAATAATCTTAATTTCTGCTACCTAAGGAAACCTTGTAAAAATAAAGTCATTACCATTTAAGATACTTAAAGTGACAAGTACTTTACAGTAAACTGGAGGACTTGTGCATATTGTTAACTAAAATTTTGGAAGTGGCAACAGAGAACAGACCCCAGACTGATAGAATCCAGAAGCAATCAGTAAACACATCATACAGTTACAGAAGTAGACCTTGCACACTAAGTGCTTTCTTCTACTTAAAATTGCACATTAATTTCATCTGCTTATTTCCAAAAAGATCACAATACCACTTAGGATGGTACATGTGTCCTGAATGGCAGAAGGAATAGCATATGAATTGGTAAAGTTGTTACTAAATAACTTTGCATTTTGCTCATCAGCAAATAAAGGGCCTTTCATCTGGCTGCAAGCATTTCTGAATTTTATTATTTTAAAATACTTTAAGCTTACACAGCATATTTATTTCTGGTTCAAAGAGAATGCACTAATTGAAGACAAGATCATAACACCTGTCCTATGTTAGAACCTACACCCAGTTTTTTTTCCAATCACTCTTTGAAGAAAAATAATGGATCACCTGCAGTTTTCTTGAGGAAAACAGATCTAATCTGAGCATGCCACTGAAAGCTGCTACCTTTGAAGACACTTTTACTTATGGATTGCAGTTATCCTGATGAGTCATCACTCTCCATAGCCACTCCATCCATAAATCTGTTTTCACCTGATATACAGTCTATGAAGATGGTAAATTTTTTGCCCATCTGAAAACGCTGTCACTTCCTTGTATAAATAGGAGATAGACAGCTGGTGCCACTACACTTTGGACTATTGTGCTGTCAGACAATGTGGTACTCCTGCGTATGATTCTCAGTTGCTGTTTTTGCGTGACCCTTTTTTATATGAAACTTTATGATGAATTAGGCCTCCCTTGAGGCCTTTTTATGATGAGTAAGATAAAAGCGAGAGAGACAAACTGCCCTTCAGCTGCAACAGTATGAAACATCCATCAGTGACAGCAATATTATTCGTCTGCTTTCCAATCCCACTGCACTACAGCCTTCCAAGCAAAAATTACTTGCAGTTAAAAAAATATATATATAAAATAAAAATATAAAATTAGGTATTGAACTTAGAGGGTATGTAAATTATTGATAAGGTTCTTTTAAGTATATTCAATAAATAAAGATTGGAACATTTTAGCTATCATGCCTGTTCTATCTTTTGTACTCCAACAGTTTTAAGGTCTTTTCTGGACTGTTCATGGCTTAGGACTCCTCCAGATTGAATATACAAAAACTAATTTGATATAAACATTGGATTGGTAACGCTGAGGGTAATCACAGTTTAAAACAGTCAGTACCATCATGGTATCGTGAAAAAGCACAGTAATAAAATAAGGCATAGCAACCTAAACAGTTTCTGCAGGTTTCTCAAATGCCTACTTTTCTTCTTTCTCCCCAAAACATTATCTCAAAATTTACCAATAGTTAAATTGTGATTCTTCATCTGATACTCAAGACTATAACTGGGGAAAGAGAACTCCATACTCAGAATACCTCTTAAACTAAAACCGAATTTGGCTAGGACCGTTATTGTTTTGTGCATACACAAAGTGAGGTACTGTGTACCTTTATGCTGAATCATTTCATTAAGATTACCTTTTTAATTAAAAAAAAAAAATAGACTTTAGTTGAAAAGGTAAGCCTAAGAATCAAAAGTGTACCTTTTCTGGTGTACACCCTGAAAAGCAAGCAATATCATCCTATAAATGTCTCCTACTATTCATTTAAATATTCTGACTCTTAAAACTATTTGTACATCACTGCTGCTTACAGTAACAAAATACTCAACTGTTCTTCCTCAGAGCTAATGAACATGACTAATAATCCACATGCCAGCAGCTTCCTATGCCTTGTATTTGAAGGATGTTACACATGACAACAAATAAAAAGAGCCTTACTTTGAATATTAACGCACAGCAAGCTTCACATTTCAATAGATCATATAAAAATAAACAAAATAAAAATCCCCCCCATTTGTTCTGCCATGAGCAGAAAGTGTTCATCTATAGCTTTTTTTATTGCATCAAAAGAAATTGCATTAAAGCTATCAAAGTTGTAATTAGCTTATAATATTTTTTGCATTGTTTCTGAAGTCTTTAAAGAATCCATGATACTTAGGCAAAAAAGAACCAAAAGAGTTTTAAAAATGTTGCAGTTTTCCAGTTCTACAGCATTAGCACTGCAGACATCATCAAAAGTGCCCGAAGATTTACACTGTCCTTGACCTAGCTTAATAAATATGCTGTAACGGAAACCATACCCATTATATTTGCCACTGTGCATATACAAAACAGGAAAAAGCAAGTGCCTATCTTCAGATCAAAATCCCTTGTTAATAACATACCTCCAATCTGAATTGATTTCTAGGAATCGAGAAACTCCTGTTTGTGCTGCAGCCACATCAATATGAACAGACACCTCTGCATAAACAAACAAAATACAGTATGAAAATGCCTGAAAGAACACTCTGATTAATAAGTTAGCAAAATAGTAATGGAAAAGATGCACATAAACAGTGTGAAGAAACAATATTCAACATACGTGGAGAAAAAGATACACTAGCGGAAATAATTACAGTTGAAATGAGGTGAACATAAACCATACCAGCTTCACATACCAGCTGTAGAGGGTACCAACTCATGTAATTTCTGCATTGCTACTCCTCCAGGATAATTGAAATGCGAAACGTATAAAGATGTTCCTGAATAAGCTGCATTAACCAGAAGATGCATTGTAACAAAGAGCGATCCAAGTTTGTACAGCCAGGATTTCCGGTAGTTATTTAGACTAACAAGAGAAAAAAAAAATGAATAAGAAATAACTGTTAGTTTTCCTTCATATCGGTCACTGGTTATTGTGATAGAACTTTTATGAAAAACTCCCCTGCTAGATAACAAAGATCAATGCAAACTTCATACAGCAATTGTTTATAAGGAATGCATTTATTACCCATTTCTAAAAAACTAACTTCTAGTGACAAATATTCAACATTAGAATAAATATTCTCATTAATAAAGCTAAGTATTTCTCTGTTTGTAACCAGCAGCTATATATGTACTCTCTTTCAAAGAGGTTCAGAATTTAACTTCAATTTGTTTACTCACTGTAACCAGGTTAAACTATTTGATACAAACGCCATGTTTTGCGAGTCTCAATTGTCTATTAAACTATATCCTGACAAAAGTTACAGTGGCAACATGGTAGCATACTGGAACGTGTCTGTTTCTTTAGTGGATAAAATAAACTGAATTGCAACAGCATGACAGAAAGTTGGCATTCTATTATTGACTCTGCCACAGACTTGCCAAACGACCCTATCATATCATTTCACTTTTCTGTCTCCATTTCTCTCATTAGTAGAATTGGTAAAATGATACAGACTTCCTTTCTAAAGGATCTCAAGATAATCCAGGTTCCAAGATGGAAAGAAGTGCATAAAACAATAATAACAGTTTTACGTGCTTTTACATTTTTAGAAAAAAAAATTTCAAACTTACATTCGTGAGCAAGTTTTAGCAGCCACTATGTTGAAGACAGGGAAAGTATACATGATAAAACGCAACTCTTTGTGTGGAAGAAATGAATACAAGAAAATAAAGCCCAGCGCTGGCAAAAGTAACATCCGAGTCCTCTTTTCTGCCGCACCTAAGGGTACAAATAGAATGCTGCATCCCAAAGCACGAGGCAGGGCTGAATAGAAATACCACAAAAAAGGAGAGGTCTTCAAGGTGAAAAGGAGAGTTAAGGACGCTTTCATTGCCAGCAAGTGTGTAAGGTCAACTATTTTTTACAGTAGCCTACACAACTTTTGCAGATATGCAGTATGTTTTTTCTATATCATGTTTTTCTAGGCATTTAATTTTCCTACCTTACCCTTTGAGAAAGAAAAGCAGGTGCCTAGCTACTCTCACATCATACCACAAATCACGTGGGAAACATCAACAATCAAGGGGAAGAAACCTGGATTTATATTTGTAGAACAGGAACAAGCATGAAGAATAGGTCAGCAGAGGAAAGTTAAAATTAAGGAAAAGATTTACAGAACAGATATTGCCTCAAACTTAAAATAAATTCTACTTCTTCCATCACTTATTTCATCAACACCACAACCGGGTCTCAGGAATGAGTTATGTGAAGCCCTTTGTTTAGCTCACAGCATTCTAAAGATCTCTTTTCCTAACACATTCCAAAGGATACTCCCCAGTTGGAACTTTTGTTTAAAACCGTGTTATACCAGAGCACTTTCCCTTCAGGCCACAGAAGTTGCCTCCAAAATAGCGAGTCCACAGCAACTGTCAGTCCTAGAAGAAATATAAACCTGCATGAATTAAAAACTAGAGAAATCCAAAGTCCATCAAAGGCACATATTTACCAATTAGATAACACAAACCGGAAAATGCACTGTAAGCCTCTCACAAAGCCATACAGAAGGCTGAAGCTATCCTGCAACAGAAGCGCAGGGGAGGGATGCTACACTTTGCATTTTTTAACAGAAATCTTAAGAGAAGCATATTAGATAAGCATCTGGGTGAGATTGTTCCCACCCCCAGGTGTGAAAAAGAGTGGTTTAAAGTTTTTATAAAATATTAGAGTATTGAAAGTAATGAATATTAAGAAACCTGTTTTAACTTCATATGGCATTAACTAGATTTCTACTGAGAAGTCGATGAGTAAAAACAAATCTCCAGTGGCTTCCCACTACATATTGGGAAGGAGGGAAGAAGGAGGATAATGCATAAAAGGCACACAGACAGGAAGAGTAGGAAGCCTGTCAATCCTATCTCCTCTGCTCAGCTATACGAAAATTGCTCTGGTATTTGGAAAATTTGCCCAGTGAGGGAATGGGAATACATATGCCTTATTCCTGTTGGGCCTCCAAGCTCTTATACTATGAAGCAACTTCAAACGTACGTGGAATGATCTTTCACTGCTTCTACTGTCCACACTGTGGAAAGGTCAGCACACTGCCAGAGTTCATCACCAGGCACCGGTCAAGAGCTTTTTTAGTTAGGTAAGCTGGCTCAGTAGCTTAAAATATTTACAGGCATGTGCACAAGTCTTCCATAGATATGCAGAAACAAGGAGCTTTTTCAACCTCTCCAGTGTGGACCATCACCAAAGCCATTACAATTAATGTATTAGGAAATAGATGCCCAAAGAATTTTCTTAAAAATCTTGAGAATCATCCACAAAGCTAAGCTGCGACTCTCCCCACCATCTCTTGCTCCGTACCCCTCTGTGTCATGCTGAACCATATTTTATCCTGGGCTTTAGCTTATCATCACGGCAATAGACACTACGTTTGATAATGTGCCTGCAACTATGAACAGGTACTAATTATATTACAATCCACTTGCATGTCTAAGCCTTTTCAAAGCCAGGACCTTATAGTGTAAGAATCTAAAGGCAGGGGTCAGAGTATTTTTCTACAGCTCTGTGCACATCTATTTCTTCACACAGAAATGTTCAAAGAAATACTCTTGTAATATTACTACTAAATGGAACCACAGACAAAAACAATCCCTAAGGTCAGCAGAGAAGGCAAGCAAATCTTTACCTCTAATATTCAGAAAATTCTACATATTCCAAACCATTATGTTTTCTAGTTCTTTAATTATTTGACGTGTACAGTATAAAGTTTTAATTAAGGTATTACTCACCTTTCCTAGATTAGTTTCACTAGTTCACAAAAACAACAACAAAAAAAGGTTTTCTTGTGAGGAAAACGCAGAAAATTTATTACTTCTCATTTTCTCAAGTATTTTTTTACTTCAGGTGTATTTTTGAAAAATTTAAGACTTTGATTGGATTTAATATGACATTTGTTTTTTTTTTCCAGACAAACACTTACCCAGCCAAAACATGCCAGCAGGAACAGCATGGGAAAGCACCTTTAAAATGGAGACTCTTTTATTCAATAATGTCACCAGAAGCATGAGGCCTAAAAACATACAGAGCTCTGATCTGAAGACTATAATTGCCAAAGCTGAGAACCAAATGAACGGCCTTTGCTTTTGCTGTATCCAAAACGTCAACGCCAGGAGCACTGCAGAAATAGATAAAACACATCATCTGATACACTGAACACCTTCACTGTTTGTTTTCTGCAGACAAATGCACCTTTTAATGCAGGCTTCTTGTTCCTCTGTCTTCACACTTCTTTCCAGCTAATGCTTTCTTGGTCCTCCTAGCACGTCTAGTCCAGTAATTCTCTCTCTCTGAGAGGGGGATGTAATTTGGAATAACGTGCAACGTTCCATCGTTGATGCTTAACTAATTAGGAAAAGGGTAATCACACGAAGCAGGATTTGGGAACTCTTCCTGGATAGTTTATTTAATAGCTTTCCGAACAAGACCAAACTTAAGGGAGTACTGAAAGCTTTTCAGATTAAGACTCATAATTATTATTGCTCAGTATCAGCTGACGAGTTTATTCTTTTGGCTGAGTATATCCTGTATTAATGACAACGGCACCCCATTTCAATTACGAAAAAGAGACTACAGACTACTGCTCAAGAAGAAGGATCTATAAATCCATACGGGTGGTTAGCTGGAAACATATCTCTACAGATGAAGACTTCTCCACTTTTTCACAGTTTAAACCACACGGTAACACTGCCTATATTGTAAATTAGTCACAATCCTAAGAAAAACGCAAGAGAACACAACAATGGATTATAAGTGAAATAGTAAAAGGATACAAAACATGTTTTAGTATCTGGGAAAATGTTCTGGAAAGTTTACTACTATGCAATATTTTCTTGACAATTTAGCTAGTTTTTTTTCTGTTTTGTTTTAATTCTGATTCAAACAGATTCTTAGACCAACCTCATGATTTTAATAGCTGAAAAACTTCCAGTGAAGCATTAAGTGACTAAGCTAATATCTGTCACATGTGATTAATTTTTCCTCTCATCATCTCTGGGGAAAAACTATATGAGTAGGTTAATCTTAGTTTTGACTTGGTATACTTACAGTATGGGGGGGGTGCTTGTCAAACTGTTTATAGATTTATAGGTTTATAGATTACTCTAGAAAAGGAAAGTGAAAAGGTCGCTGTGGAAGTTTGTTCCAGTCTCATGAGAAAACTGTTTCCTGCACAGACTAGATTTTTTTGAACTACAGGTGTACCCCGTGAGTTTTCAATAGCTAGATATTTTATGCATCACATATATATACTCAAACCGCTAGTTAATCAAATTTATCTGACAAACACTATGTATATTTAGACTCCGTAAAACATACGATTACAGTCATTTAGGCATAGGCTGCAATAAAAGCACAACCATCTAAGTCTTCCAGTCTAGTTATCACATAATCTAGTCATCAAGCATATACATTAATTTTGCCTGGCTGCACTTTTCCCATACGTGTTTACTACAAATTGGAAAATAATTTTGATATTTTAAAATTATTACTATGTGGATACTTACCAAAAGGAAGTGCAAACACATTAGGAAGGGTTCGTGTACAGTAAAACATCAAATGAAACTGAGTAACAGTTATGAGACAGAAGACTGTTGACGCAGTTGCTCCAAACTGCTTTCTAACTTCTTTTTGTAACTTCCATAAAGTGTAAATCACACTGAGCCCCAAAGTTCCTCGGACTATTGGAAGAATAAAAGTGTGATATAAAAGTAATATCAGATTGATTGCTGATGGACAAACACGTTACATACTGTAATGGGAAGATGTTAGACATTTCACAGTGCAACCCACCTTAAAGACCCCTATTAGCTTATCTAATTTAATCCTCCTTTAAACTGATACTTTTGCAGAAAAATCAATGCTTCTATACCCAAATAAAACATTATTTTCTCAAGTGTATGTGCAAGCACACTTGGGAGAGTATTCTCTGAAGATACTTACTTTTCCAACAGTGTTAGATGTTTGTCATCTTACCATAAGCTTTTTCTGCGTTGCTATGTTGGTCCAAAAAGGGGGCTGAAATTACCATGCTGGCAGTGACTGCAGTTGGCAAAATCCCTCATTAAGGAAAAGTATATCAATGTTTTAAACATTGGTCCAAACCCTGAATATCACAACATTAGTGCAACAGTAAAAATACCTCTACTCTGACTTGAAAGTTCTCATACCTATCAGCTGGGAGTAAAACTTGGACATTTGTAATACCGAAAGTACGTATATAGCTGGGCTGGAAAGAGCAGCAATAAAAATTGGTCCAAGGAACGTTCTTGGGACAACTCCAGGAAATTCATGATGGTCATACTGCAAAAAGGAAAAACTAAGTAAGACAGGCAAACCAGAAACAAAGGAAAATGGGATAAATCATACTCCTATTGCCATTCTCTTGTATGAGTTGGATAAATGCAATCTTTAACAGAGTCTTAGAAGAAACACTGTCTTTCCAATTTACCTTATCCAAGTCTAGACGATGGTACACAACATCGTGGATGGCTTGTAGGTTAAAGCTTTCCTCCACTTTTGTAAATGGACAGACAGTTAAATGTACAAAGGCCACGACAATAATCAGCAGCAGCAATGGGCATGACCGCCTACTTGAGCTCCTCTTCTGAGACATCCTGAGCTTGAAATTCACATATATTCTGTTATCAATGGAGATTAAAAGAAAAAGAGAACACATTAGCATCACGGCATAACGTGTATGAACACAAAAGGACAGACTGATTCGTATGCAAAGATAAGACTGTAAAATAAGTGTAAACAAAGAGCAATGAACCAATTTGTATGCAATCAGTGAATGGAGTAGATGGCCAAAAGAATATTCAGATGGTATTTCATGATTTACACTGCCTTCTGAAACAAAGCTTTTCATTTTCACCTAACTCTCCCCAACACTCAAAACCCTGCGACAAGATAGAAGCCACTTAAGAAAATATTTCCATTCGAGTTCTGTACCGCCACCACCGCTGAGAGCACCATCTCATTTACGCCTGCGTTTCATGGGAGTAACGCCTTTGTAATTTGCTCTCACTTTAATCTCCCACTGGATTAATACATTATCTTTAGAGTATACTATCTCTTTTCTCTAGGACTCTGAAATTACTGGGAGAGGAAGTGTGAGGGCGAGAGACGGTTCAGAAAAACAAACAGGTGCTTTGAACTTCCGAGATCCTTAGTTTGCCAGTGGCTAGGTCTGGACTTGGCAGGTAAAGGAAGAAAACCCTCTGGCACCCGTACCATATGTCATTACTGTGTGACTGAGCATAGTCTCAACCCAATCCTCCAGGCTCCAATTTAGAAAGAAAGGCCCTAGTGCTTAGTTTCACAACACTGAGCTGACCCGTTTTTACGGTATTATTTGTGATGTATTTTAGGTGATGTCAAGGGTACATAAAGCATCCATATTTTAACAGTTATACAGCTCATCCTTTTTAATTTCACATTATGAGCCAGTAAGGAGAACATCCTTTTATGTGAACACTTCTAGCAAAACTGTGGTAATCTATTTCATGTTCTTTTAATTTGAGTTTCCTACTTATCTTGTATTAAACTGTAAAGTTAGCAAAGAGATTTTGGTTATTGTTACGTTTGTTCTGTTCTCACAGAAACAAAACGGTAAGAATAGCACCTTTACGGTACAACTGAGATTTTTGGCTAGAGATGTTTTCTCCTGTGTTCTGGTCTAACTATGTCCATTAAACAGATGCAAGACAGTTGGCAGATTTATCAGGATCACTTAGCAACTGCTTCCTAGAGTTGCCTTTTCCTTAATGGATATATTTGTCCCACTCATTATTAAAAATAAAACAGATAAGGAATGAGCTAAATGTTATTTTCACAGCTAACACAAATAAACCCAGAAATGTGTGTGCACTCACTGCAGATTGCACGTCTGCACAGTATACTATATATTAACACTGTTCACACGTCTTTATCTCATAAATGCTGCTGTTACAGATTGTAACTGAAGCTTTAATCCTGGGCTCTAAGTCAGAGAATTCTGTGGTGGCTCTTCATGATTTTTGGCTTGTTTTGCAGCATTAAGAGCCTAAATAAATACCACATCCCCAGGAAGTGGGAAGAAGTCTTTTTAAACTGTGCCTACTATTACTTCTTTATGAGGGAAAATAAAAATGGGTTACGCTACAACAGAATCCTTTTTCCATAGCAGTAGTAAAAGAGGTCTTAGACTGCCATCAGCGCAACTCTGAGAAGTGTTTGGCGTGAATCAAGTCTCTGCACAGTACAATTTATCTTGTACAAAATCTTGCCTCTAGAAAGCTCTCTTACTGAACTCTTCCAAAAAAATACAGATGCATCTTACATTTCTGGCCAAATTCGCCTGAGAGAAAAATGGACACTGAAGAATAAGCCTACGTGAGGTCACAGAGCCATCCAAATAGCCTGAGTTTCATATGAAATAGTACGTAGAACACCAATAGGTCAAATACGCCTCACTCAGAAGCCTCAGCTTCCCAAAATTTCAAGTATTTTAGGAACTTTGCAGACGGACCTGAGTCCCAAAAGCTATTTTCCCCCTTCCTATCGTATTAGCTATCTAATAAAATGGTATTACCTCCCCCTTTGAAACACTGCATTGATTATATGCTGACCAGTCTACAACATAGCCTATTCCTGACATCTTTAATTGATTACCGCATATACAACCAAACCCCAGTTTTCTAAATTTTCTGAATGACAGGGAACGTACATATCCCATACATGGTTTAATCATAAGGATTTTTACCTTGTTGACTTTGATCCTACTACATGCCTAAAGAAAATAAGCTTGCCAGCAAAATCATATACTTTGAGGATAATTATACGTATTATACATACTGAAATTCCCTGAAGGGAAACACTTTAGAACATTAAAAGACAAAGCACAAAGACAACACCTAGGCTTCTGAGATAAAGATTATAAATTTAGAAATCTTGTCAAGTTTTAGAATAACTGGCTTAGTCAAAAACTGATGTTGACAAACTTCAAAATTCAAGTGAAATTTTTCAAGATAGTCAGGTAGACATCGAATTTGAACTTTAAAAAATTTTTAGCACATAAAGGCAAAATATTTGCAACTAGATCTTACAGTTTTCTTAAAAAAAAACTCTCAAGAAACAGTCAAATAGATTGAAATACTTTTAACAAGTGAAAAATAATGAAGGTGAGGGAGCTATGAGAATTTTATTCATCATTAACATTCTGACCACCTTAGAAGAAACTTCCTCAGGCTCTTGCAATACTGCCACGTTTATTCCCTGTCAGATGTCTACCTTGACATGGAATCACAGGAAAGGAAGGAGAGTTTTGCAAAACAAAAACAAAGTCTGGGACAGTACCAGGTATAAAGGTACTTGGAAGCTATGTAGAAAATACCATTCTTGGAATTAGAGCAGGGAAACACAGAACATTCTTAAGTCAAAAAACACATACGTAGAAAGCTTAACTGGACTGCTACCATACCCTAAGGAGACCACCAAATCTATCCACGAAGCATGTGTCTGATCTCCCTCTAGTGGCCAGCTCCCATGAAGGATGAGAACCGACCTGTCACCAGCTGTCTCACCTAGAGAGAGTGGGCTGTGCTGCCTGCAGCCAAGCAGACACATGATAATACTTCCTTTTGTTCTCTTTCCCTCCGTGAAGCCAAAATAAGTGTTATCCACATTTCTGTAAAAAAGTTGAAGCTACCAAGTTATTGCATGCTATCAGTCCTCACTCTAAACAGAGGATATAAAAAAGCCCTGACGGCTATTTTGTTGCTGCTGATTACTGTGAACGATTCATACATGTTAATAACTAGATTGCATGAGTTAAGGTGACATTATTCCGATTCTACAGGTGTGAAACTGAGTCAAACAAATGATAGCTGATGACTAACTTGAGACTGCAAAAGCCAGTTTTTAGAAGTATACAGGTTTCCATACATCAGTATAGACTCAGAGCAGATTCAAAATTACTTCTCTTTAAGTTACTATTATTAAGCTTTGGGCTATTTGAAACTGACTATCGAGAAAAGAAGGAACACAAGAGTCACAATCACTTTTGAAGAATTTGGCCTAAGTATCTTCTCTGACATTGTACAGGACCTCTGCGGTAGAGGCAGGTATAGCATCCAGTTCCCCAAGGTAGCATTCAACCACCTTAACGAAGAGATTATTCTTTTTCTCTTCGCAGTTCCCTGCTTCCATCGCTCTACAACATTAATTTATGCTTGGGCCATGCTATGTGACAGAAGCCAGAAAAAAACTTTAAAAAAATCTGGTGATAATAATTAATGACTGTACTACTCTATAAAAATTATAAAATAAGCACACCATCTCTTATTTACGCTAGTTTTACAAGTATTTCAAAGTATTTTCAGCATTGTTTTAAGTGTTTTTAAACAAGTAAGTCTAAGCAAGTTTGCAATTCAGGTACACTACACTTTATTTGCACCACGTTTTGACAATACGTTATCGGAAACCTCCCTTAAGCCAGAACCGTTATGAACGATTTTCTTCAAGTCCGGGCTGCACAAACTGAGACTAAGTACCAAACGGCGAGCTTTCTAGAGCTGAGTATTTCTTCAGCTGGACGATTAAGAGAAAAGAGCGCAACAGGGAGCAGAAAAATCAGGGGGAAAAGAAAACCCCTAAGCCTCGCCCATCCCCCGGCGCACACTCGCACCCGTGTTCGTGGCGGCACCGCCCCTCGCGGGACGCCCGCTGGGCGCGGGGCTTCG